AAAATCCTCCATCTTGTTTCCATCTGGTGAAGAAGGAAGTTGCTCTCAGTGTCTTCAGAGGTTTTTGTGTCGTTTCCTTCAGTGGTTCTTGGTGCAGCGCCCCCACAGGTCAGGAGGGGAACAGGTTGGTTTGACTCAGAACCACAGCAGCTGCAGGTGGAGCAGATGTTCTGGTTCCAGTAGAACCAGGTCGACCGGTCCATCATGAGAGAAAACATCCTGATGGTCAAAGATGGAGGTAAAGAGTTTAAATCTTTTGTTCTTCACATTGGATGAACAGCTTCAGAACCTCGTTGAGTTTCTTTACATCCTGATGTTTTTTAGCTGCTGCTGAGTTGAAACCCAGTTGGGTCACTTCCTCCTCCTCCCCGCCTACTTCCTGCTCCTGGTTCGCCGCCGCTCTCCGGTCCCGTTGCATTCTCCAGTCAATGAATTTCATCATGCATGTACAGGAGGAGGAGGAAGCAGAACCACGTTGCATCAGTTCCAGATTTCTAAGAATAGAAGAAGAAAAACAAACAGAAGAAACGCAGAGAGGAGGAACAGAAAGCAGATGCTGCAGCTCTGAAATCAGACGCCGTGTTTATCACATTACATCATCTGTAACAGCTTCAGCTGCAGCACAGATTACATCAGATACACTTTACATACCAGGCTGAGATTTCATCCATCAGCCAGAAACCTGGTAAAAGCTGAGAGCAGTTCGGCTCACAGAGCAAACGTCTCGGCTCCAGACCAGCGCTCGGTTTCATGAGGAGACATTTCAACAGCTGATCTGCTCAGAGAACGAGACCTCAGCAGTCAGAAAATACCAACTTCATTCAATAGAAGCTGCTGGTTCTGGAGGATCTGATGCTGCAGCTTGACGGATGTTTAAAGATCCCGGCTGCGTTCCTCTCCTGCTGAGCTGGTTTCTCTGCATTAGACCTGAAACGTGTCGCAGGAAACGCCAAACGCTCCTGATGGAGGGAAACAGTCAGAAACAGAGATCTGTCTGCCAGCTGACAGATGGGACTGCTGTGTTAAAAATAACGATAAAATGTCCCAGAAGTTTTTGTGATGAACGATAATAAATTTGTTTAATTTATTATCAAATTAAACAAATTTATGTTGGTCTTTAGTGGAGCCAACAGAGACGGGCCAAGCAGAGACATCCCCGACACGGCCATGTTTCAGCTTCAGTCCCTTCTACCGGTTCATTCTCTCTCCTTCAGGACCGTTTGGACCTGATGGTGTCGCTGTAGGTCAGAGCTGCCCAAAGGTCACCCAAAGGTCATTAATGGGCCCGACTTCATTTAAAAATCACAAACTACAGATTTGTGATTTTAGCTTCTGGTTTTATAGACGTCTCTTTACTGGGACAGAACAACATGGCCGCTGCTCATCTGGTTTCAGGAAGTCGGACCTTCAGCTCCGACCTTCTGACCTTCAGCTCCGACCTTCTGACCTTCAGCTCTGGCCCCTGTCTCTACAGGCCAGCAGGGCGGCGCTATCCTAAATGAGCAGCTTCCTCCTTACAACCTGACCTCATGTGGTCAGCAGCGCCTCGCTTTGTGGATGATGATGATGATGATGAAGTGCATGCATAATGAAGTCCTGAGAAGCTGCTGCTTCCCTCCACCTGCTCCAGAGGAAGAGGACGAAGGCGTCAGCTTTCATCCAGCTGATCAGCTCGCTAATACAGTTAGCGCTAACAGCGCTAACAGAGCTAAGTGTGTTAGCACAGAGACACTCCGTCTGCGGTGGAAACCAGAACCTGCAGGCCGTCGCAGGAAACGAGACAGGAGGAAGAGGATGAGGAAGAGGAGGTGATGCTGGCGCTCATGCCGGGCTCTGCCCTACATTTCTCCTCTGCTACTGGATCAGGCTTCCCCAGAACCCACCGGGTCCCCAGACAGAGCAGAACATCTAGATGCTGCTGATCTACATCACATCATCTAGATTCTAGATCATACATCTAGATTTCTCCTCAGCTGTACTTGATGAACACAGTTTTAGGATTTATTAACTGGCTGAAACGTTGACCAGCACGCCGGAGGAAACCGTCCTGAATGAGTTCAGAGGTTTAGATGAGAGAACATGAAGCTGAACAGAAAACACATCAGTTATAACCATAAAGCAGGAAGTGGAAAACTAAGTGCACCCCCACTGCTTCCTCCTGGTTGAAGCGTGAAGCAGAACCAAAATGGCCGCCTGGAAGGAAAAACTCTTCTCTCCAGAACAAGATGGAGGCAGGACTGAGGTCAGCAGAGCTGCATCAGGATGGAGGAGGAGACGTCCTCTGGACAGAAGAGACCAGAGACGATGGACCAAAAACACCTGACCAGCAAGGAGAAGGAGGAGGAGGAATGATGCTGTGGGCTTGTGAAAAACAAAGTGGATCATGATCTACGGCAGCTGATAGGGACAAACGAATGATGCAAACTCCAAGACACACAATGCAAAAAATAAATGCACCAAAAAAAAGGTGCAGATGGAAAAACCAAAGTATAAAACAAACAAATGCAGGTCCTCCTGACCACAATGGGGCGCCACCTACACCTCTGGTTTGTTGCTTGTAGGTTTTGTTGCCGTGTTCTGTGATTGCTGCAGTGTCTGCAGTGTCTGCAGTGTCGTGACCTTGACAGATGTGAGCAGTCGCTCCTTCCTGCTCCAGGTTTCGCTCCGTCTTGCTGCCCGCCTCCCGTTCAGGTGTGACATTAAAACTGATGTAAATACGTTACCAACAAAGGTCAGATTTATTATAATCCAGTTAAATCTGCATCTGTGCTGGAGGTCGGCGAGGCGTTGAGCAGGTAGATGCTGCGTCTCCAGGCTGAGCAGGTAATCAGCTTAACCTTTACAGAACAAACCAGGATGAAGGCGACCAGGTAGTCTTCATCATCCTTAATATTTACAGCCCAGAAACAATCACTGCTTTGAAATGTTTAATCAGAAACCAGCAGCTGAATGTTCCCTGGCCGCCGCCTGCAGACTTCTGGTTAAACTTTGGCTTCTGCAGAGATCTGAAACCACTGGGTCCGGCCCAGGTCCGGTTCCTGATGGGCCGGTTGGAATACTGCAGTGCTGGTTTGAAACGAATCAACCAGGAGTTAAACCCATGTGATGACATCATTGCATGTTGGCGCCCTGCATGGCAGGAAACGGGTTCAAACCAGAGAGTTTTCCCAGCGAGATGTTTGTACGTCTCCGTTTGGTTCCTCTGGTAAGGCACACCAGAGGAAGGGAAGTTTGCTACATCAGAGCCGATTCGTCACACATGCTTCCATCTTTCTGTTGGTGCATTAAAAAGCCAAAAACCAAGCAAGCATGAAAACCTTTTTGTGAAACTGAAGTTATTTCATGTCTTGCTGTTTTCCATCAACAGTTTTTAATGCAATACTTCAAAGTGCCATAAAAAAAACAGCTAATGAGACGAAGTGGAGGAAGAAGGATTGGACTGAGAGCAACTTAATGCCATGTGATCGACCCTCTTCCAGAGTGATGGGCGCTTCAGGATAGGAAGAGAGGAGCGATGCTCCCATCATGCCTAGCGCCTACAGTGGTGGCTACACTGTAAAAACACCAATAATGATTCCTGACCATTGATGAAAAGGTACTAGATGCTAGTGAAAGAATCTGCCAGTGGAACTGGTATTTTCTCATCATCATTAAGGAATTATTTATTTAAAATAAGCTCAGATGATGCTGCCTGAATCGCCGCTGAAGGAGTTAAAATAAAAAGTTTTGACTTCTGATGCGTTTCTCCTCTGAACTCTGCGGCTCGGCTTCAGCTCTGCAGCTTTATGTCTTTATTCTGCATCTCGTTTCCGTTTTAAGGCCTCCTTCCTGAACTCACACACTCATTAAAGACAGCAAACTGCTTTAGCTGCTGCTCTACAAACAGAGGCGGCTCTGCAGCTGCAATCCATCATCTTTACTCTCTAACTAACTTACAAAGGCACCAGGCTCACGCAGCCGTTAGGGACCCACAGACACAATTAGGAACAAGCTCCACGTTTTAACAGAGCGAGGAGCCGGCGGCGGTGCGGAGGAGCGCCAGGACGCCCACGGGCGCCAGATCAGCTCACGCCGCACGCCCACACTGAACACCAACACAGAGACCGGGAGGCCTGCAGAGGTCACACTGACCTTGGAAACAGAAACGTCCCCCGACCCCTCAGAGCTCCGGGCCTCAGGCTGCTCAGTGATTGGTTGGTTTAGACCAGCTGCGGCTCCAGACCCCGCCCACCTGGTCGCTATGGAAACATCTCTGGTTTCATTCAGATTCACTTTTAACTGGGCATCCAGAGTAGAGGCCCCTGGTGACGTCAGATTGGCCCCTGAGGGCCCACTGTTCAAACGACAACACTTTAGCATCGCAGCTGATTTTTGTTTCATTTTCTGGTAAAGTGAGGAGTAAAAATGACTCTGGATGCTGAAAGACTGCCGACATATAGATGATCCATCCATCTGCAGCTCGTCCAGATGCTACAGGAAGTTCTGATCCGTAGCGGGAGACGATCGCTAACATGCTAACAGAAGAGCTAACGTTTAAATTGGAGCTTTAGCCAACTCTGAAAATGTTTAGCAAACCTAGGTTCCTCTGAATTAATTTCTCCTAGACAAATTTTGAAGCGCTAACAGCAGAGCTAACTTTACAGCTTTAGCTAACTTTGATAACGTTTAGCGCAGTTAGCTTTAATCTGAAAGTGCTAATTCACTTAACTGTTTTGTAAACTTTCAGCTGAATAAATTAAACATCTGTGTTGAAGTTTTGGTTATCGACTGTTCAGAATATCCATGCACTTATTTTGAAAGGGGTGAAGGCTGGTTAAACAGCAGATCTGTTTCCTCTCCTCACTATAATCTACCCAGAATGCATCACTGTTCTACAATAGTTTTAAATCAATGTCTTCTGATCAAAACCACTGTGGTTAGCAAAACTCAACAACTATAAAACTGTCAGCGTCAAACTTGATCTTTAGTCTTTTTGTTCATTTACAAATGAAAACAGACTCTAGAGATTGAACCTAAACAGGCAGCTGATATTTTATTCTCCTTTCATGGGTTTATGTTGGATGTTTAGATCTATATTTCCTCCTCTGTGTCCTGCTGCTCTGCCTCAACGCGCCGCCTGGATCTGGACTCAGCGGAGGAAACCTGAAGCGCCACAGTATGGATTTCTGCAGCAGCCTGTAGTATTTGATGCGTTGTAGCGGCGAGCGCTTTCCTCCGGCGAAACGTCTGAATCAGCGTGGGCGAGAAGCAGGAGGTAAACACGGAGCGTCAGGAACCGAGTCTCCAGGAGTAAAGAGTCACTACTGCACTAAACCCGCTGCCATTCAGTACAACAACATGCCTCTTCTCTTCATGGTTTTATTACCCATAATTCCCTGCCAGCAACTCAATCTGTCAGTTTCTGACTGGAATTCGTTTTTAATTTTTCTATCAGTTTGTTGCATGTTGGATTCATGTTAATGTTTCACTGGTTGATTTATTGAAGGACCCTTAAACTGTGTGACGGGCCCAGAGTGATGGGCCCAGTGTGATGGACCCAGAGTGACGGGCCCAGAGTGACGGGCCCAGAGTGATGGGCCCAGAGTGACGGGCCCAGAGTGACGGGCCCAGTGTGACGGGCCCAGAGTGACGGGCCCAGAGTGACGGGCCCAGAGTGATGGGCCCAGAGTGACGGGCCCAGAGTGACGGGCCCAGTGTGACGGGCCCAGAGTGACGGACCCAGAGTGATGGGCCCAGTGTGACGGGCCCAGAGTGACGGGCCCAGAGTGACGGACCCAGAGTGACGGGCCCAGTGTGACGGGCCCAGAGTGACGGGCCCAGTGTGACGGGCCCAGTGTGATGGGCCCAGTGTGATGGACCCAGAGTGATGGACCCAGAGTGATGGACCCAGAGTGATGGGCCCAGTGTGACGGGCCCAGAGTGATGGACGGACTCAGAGTGACGGGCCCAGTGTTGTCCCAGTAGAACCAGTGAGTGTGTTTACTGGTTCCGTGAGGCTGCTGCATTCGGATCATTTATCTGCGGTGACAAATAAAACATCGACCAGCTGGACTCTGTCTGCTGGAGGAAACCTCATGAATATGGGAGCTGCTCAACCTGCCGCCACCAACAGGCGGATGGAAAATACTGACAATATTATCAACATTCAGCAAACGCCACCATAAACACACACACACACCAATCAGGCATTTCTCCAGCTCGCCCAGTACAACCAGTAAATCAGAACAAACTGGGTTTGCCCGTTTCTGATGTTTTGGTTTGGGTCCCACTCCTCGTTATCCCCCCTCCCTGACTGGTTTACAGCGGTACCGTTACCATGATGACCGGGTCCAGCAGTGAAATGTCAGTATGTAAATGTGATAGTTAATGTTGAGTACAGACAAAACGGGACGAAGAGGTAAATGTCAAAACATTCATGGGATTGGTCTAGACGGCAGGAGTAAACCGAGCTTCTAACCTTTCTACAGTTAAAACCCAAACACTTTGCATAAACCCCACAATGCTTCCATCGACCCCAAACCGCTGCCATCGACCCCAAACCGCCTCCATCGACCCCAAACCGCTTCCATCGACCCCAAACCGCTTCCATAAAGCCAAACGTTTCATAAACCCGGCTGGAAGTGTTATCCCCGTCCTCCTCTGGGATTGGCCGAGAGGCTGCGGTCGTTATGGGAACAAAGTGAGCGCTGGCGGGCGATTAGCTTGCAGTAATGAGCCGACAGGTGGTCAGTCAGAGCGCAGGTGTTCATCTGTATTCACGGGCCCCTCTGCCTCTGAAACCCGACCAGAACCGTCCAGAACCAGGAACACCACCTCAACCTGCCTGTTGGAGTGAGAGAGAGAGAGAGTGCGTGTGTGTGTGTGTGTGTTTGGTGTCACACCTGTCTCTGAATCAGCGCCAGCATCTGCTCTCCCTCATCCATCAGCCTCTCCACTGCTTTCGGATCTTCCACTTCCCTGTTGGCCCTGAAGGCATCACGAACACGCCGCAGTGCATACGTCCTGCAACACACACACACACACACACACACACGCTGTGGTTTCATTTATAATAAGGAAAGGCAGGCCAACCAGCGGAGAGGGAGGGAAGCAGGAGCTGCTAAACCCTGGGAGGAGTTCAGGAGCAAACAGCCGACCAGAGGTGGAAACAGCTCCACACTAAACCAACAGGAAGATAAATTAGAGCCAAACAAACCTCAGGGCGGCGCAATAAAAAACAACAACCGCTTATTTATTTGTTTTTCTGCTCCTCGCATATAAAGAAACCTGCAGCAGCACAAAGAGATGCTGCTGATGAGCGAGCGTCGCAGCGGGAGCCGCTTCCTGCTTTATGAGCACAATACACCCGAGGACCTGAGGAAGAGGAGGACGAAGGCTCAGGCAGTGACACCGCGGTTTCAGACGGCAACGCAGCGAGACGCAGTAACCAGCCAATCAGAGAGCAGCAGGCCAGGTGCTGAAAACCTGGAGGTCATTAAAAGCATCAAACTGGGGAGAAAATACGATGGGAAAAAATGAAAAATAAAGAAAATGAGGTGAAAAAAGGAAAAACGGCGGACATCTTTAACCTTTCACTGACGGAGCTTCTCTTCAGTTTAATATCCCACAATCCTTTGCTGCGTCACGATCGTCTGACCAAACAAACATGAAACAGTTTCAGGTGTAGCTATGAAGGTCAACTGATTTTCCTGAATGATCAAACCAGCAGTCAGACCGATCAGGGTAACGATACGGTCCGGTTCTGTTGGGCAGACAGAAGACGGGTCAGGAACCAGAACAACCCAGCAGCCTGTGGTGGCGCCGCTGAGCTCCTCTGACCAGAACTGATGGGAGTTGAGCTGAAGCTCTGGAGAGCCGGCTGGGCGGCAGAGAGGGACGGGCGGGTCAACTCTGATCCGATTCACACCGGGTCCGATTCAACTCTGATCCGATTCACACCGGGTCCGATTCAACTCTGATCCGATTCACACCGGGTCCGATTCAACTGATCCGATTCACACCGGGTTCGATTCAAACCGGACCCGATTCAAACCGGACCCGATTGAGCTTCACCTCATCCTGCTCCTCTCAGGACCTTTAGATCCTGTAAAAAGGTCCAACCAGTCGGCTTTACAGACAACCTCCAAGTTGACCTCTGGCAGAGACTAATGGTCTGTTTGGCTTCATCAGAGCTATAAAGTTGGTCTTACATAAAACATAAACTAGCAGAACCATGAGGTAACCATTCCTGGAAAGACGGAGGGGAAAGACGGAAAGACGGAGGGACGGAAAGACGGAGGGACAGAAAGACGGAGGGACGGGCTGATGGACCAATAGATGGACGAACTAGTTGATGGATGACACTAATGGGAGGATGGACAGAGGATGGACCAGTCTGACCAGTGGACATCAGAACTGGCTGATGGACAGAACAGGAACGTCTTCTCGTCCCAGCAGAGGAAACTCAGATTGACGGACGTAGTGAGTGATGGACAGACTGGTTGATGAACGAATGGATGGGCTGACGGATGTACTGACACAGATGGACAGATTAATGGATGGATGGACTTTAAGTTCACTTTTTCATTGCTGCTGTCAGAACATCTTGTTTCTGCAGAAACTAAAATGTTTCTGATGCTTGGAGTCCAAAGACAGACTGGAGAGATCCAGATTAGTCTGCCTGAAGGGAAGGAAACCAGAAAGAGACGAAGGACGGATCAGAGAAAGAACTGATCGTTACTGTTGTATCTGTATTTATTAATAAGCAGCAGCTTCTGTACCTGTCAGCTCATTGAGGAAAACCCGACAGCGAGAGACTCCAGACAGTGAATGACTGAACGGCGTGTTTGTGAGAGAGTGAGTCATCCCGTCACGGGAACTTCAGAGGGAATTCTCCTCTCTGATCTTCAGACGAAGAGACGGGAAGGGAAGAGGAGACGAGGAGAGGAGGCGAGGAGGCACTGAAACTGGATTTCACAATCACTTATTCATCACAAGTCTTTGTCATCTCGCTGATAAGTTGACAGTTCTTAGCGCGCCCACGCTGCGTGGAGGATGCTGCGGGGGGAGGATATTTTTAAGCAGGGAAGTAAAGAGGTAAGGAGGAAAACAGGAGAACCGTCAGGACACCTGACAGGCAGGTTGCTCTTGATTGAAATAATTCATCTTTTCCACTTAGAGATACGGTACGTTACAGTGACCAGGAACACATCGTTCCTGAACCCAGTTCAGCCGTAGCTCCATTGGTTCGGCTAGGGCGGAGCTACTGGCGTTACTCAACACCGTCCTTTGATTGGGGGACAGAACCTGAGTCACGTCTGTCGCTGCTCTTGTTTGACGATGTGTTCGGTGTTCGAGTTCAACCCTGTTTGCCCAGACGTCTATGTGGTTACCACACAGATGTCTGGCAAGTCAGGCTTTTTAAAGCTCAATGACTGATGATCTGCTAGAAAGCTAACCCCACGTAAAGCCACTTCTCCACCTGAATGGCTTTAACTGCTCCAGATTCATCTCCATTAGCAGATCAGTTCCTCCAAGTTTTTAGGAAATCACTGCAGTGGCAGTGCAAGCTGGGAAAATCTGAGCATTTCGCTCAAGCAATCTGACTGACGCCTGAATGTGTTCGTTCATTGGCACGTCACTTTAGACTGCAAGCATCTCGACCACCGCAGTGGACCAGCGGACATCTCGTCTGCCATCAGAGAGCTGCTCGAGGAGGAAGACTGTAACCTTGGTCAACGTCTTCTGTCAGAAGATGATTTCAGAGGCACGTCTCTTAAGAACGAGCAGCAGCGAAGATCCAAGGACCGGCGGTCTGTTTCACACACTGGAACTACGTCACAGTGGTTTGGTGTGAATTTCATTGCTCATTTAGGTTCTTCTTTTCATAAAGTTCAATCGCCTTGTCTAGACCCAAACCTGACATTAACCAACAGAGACTTGATAATGGAGAAGCAGCTGAAGACTAAAGTCTTCAAGTCCCATATTTGATCTGAGGTAGTAGATCAGCCATGATCTAAATACAGAGGTTAGGAAAAAAAAACTGGTTCGATCTAGACAACTTCAGATGTAACAGATCGATCACTGTCCACCTGTAAAACTAGGGAATGTTGTTCACTTTTATCATGAGTCCGTACTTTGGTTTCAGGTCTGCCTGACTTTGCAGAAAACACCACAGATCTCAAAGCTCTTTCTGGAAACAAAACAGTTTTAACTATATTCTGTGTGCCTGACTGTCCTCCCTGATCCAAACTGCTGAGGTTCTGCTCTCCGCTCAGCGCTCTGCTCCTCATCACCTCACTGTTTAACTTTCCTGAGGAAGATCATGAATGTTTCATCTGACTTCTGTTCGTTTCCGTGTTTTCTCTGGTTGACAAAGCCTTCCAAACTCAGGCAGAGTTTTATCCCAGGAAGAGCAGCGAGCGGCTGCCTGGCTGTTAGTGCAGCATCAACAGAACAGCGCCGGCAGCAACGTCTGGCATATTCAGGTCACTCCACAACAACCTGGAAGCTCACAGGTACGGCTCAGAGCAGGAGCAAATCACTCCCACACGCTGCGCTGCTCCGCTTCCCACCAGGACATAACGGCACTTTGTGTGTCAAAGAGGAGTCACAACTCAGAGAGGATGGAAATGTTCACAGGCAGCGGTTCGTTGTTAACATTTCTATTAGAAGAGCCTGACACAGAGACAAGAGACGTCATTAAAATAGAAATTTTATAGCTTGAGCTTAATACGATTCATATTTTTTTAAGTGCTCCAAAAACTGACTTTCCTCTCTGATGTGGAAACATTCCTGAAAAAATAACATTTAACCAGACACTTCGAAGAGGCTCTGATGCGACGTAGGGATCCTGTGTGTCGATACACAACATTTTGACTTGGTTACTTGCAACTGAACTTTGACTGCAAAATTATTAAGGGAAAAAAATGGCGGATTCATAAAACTAGAAGTCATGACCTTGTTTAGCAGTTCCACAGCAAATGCAGTGACATAATACACAAGATCAATGTTACAGCGAATAAAGAAAAATGAACAGACTAAAAAAAAATTCACAGAAAGAATATAAAGATATATACGCAAAACAAGGAGACACTCAAAGTACAGAAAAACATTTATTTAAGGGCTAAAAAACTGGATTTTTCATAATATGTCTCCTTTAAATCTGCCTGTTTTGCTGGGATGCGGTTGTGACGTGTTGCTGCCACTAGGTGGCGATAATGCACCAAGTTGCAGAAGCTTCGAAACCGCATAAAGACGTACAGACCAACAGGAAGACGTCCTTTTATGGTTGATAGAATAAAATTATGCTTTCTTGTCCCTCAGTGGGAGGATTCAGTTTTATCTCATTCATCATGACTGAACGATATTTCTAGTTTTTACGGTTATGATGATGCTGAAGTAAATCCCAGATCTGCTGACTGGCCGATTCTGCTCCAGATGAATGGATCCATAGGTCGGGTTGTTCCAGAACTCAGAACCTCCTGACTCATACCTCTCCACCATGTCCATTCAGTCAGAACTGAACCTGTTTTACAGCAAACCTCTGATCTCTATCGATCATTTCACAGCATTTATACAATGAAGCTAAAGCTATGTTTACAGGAGATCACTGCCTGGAAACTGATGATATTTTCATATTTTAATTGGGGAAAAGTTTCAAATTTTGACAGAATGCCTAAACACCTGGAGTCAGCTGTAGTTGTCATGTCAGGCCTCTAGATGGTGCTGTGATTTTAGCACGTCACTGAACACACATGTGCTTTTGACCCTTAGCTTCATCTCATAATAAGCAGTAACCTAGCGCTCATGTAACACAAGCCAGATAAACTGAACAGGTCAAGTAGCAGGATGCTATCCGCCATTGGTTTTGTTGTTATCCAGAGTACTTCACACCTCCAGCAGGTGTTACAGAAAAGTTTCACTTTGATTCCTGGTTTCAAAACGTCCTGGTGTCGGAGCCTCCAGACACTGGAGGCTCCGTGTAAACCAGAATCTCTTCTATGCCTGATCCAGTTTGAAATATCCAGATTTTTAAATGTAACTAAACTTCTCATGAGGCTAACCTTGCCTCCTGACAAAGTTCGGAAAAGTTTACCAAAAGTGGGCGGAGCCAAGATACACAGAGGGGCGTGGCCAAATGGGAGGCTGATTGAAGCATGTTAAGCTTTGCGATTTTGTCACAATATTCAACTTTTCAGACCCTGTAGAATTTTTTCTTCTTCAATAAATAAAAACCAACTAGCGGCAAATCTAGCAACATTTTTTCTGTAGCATTGGAGACTTTTATGGTTTTATATCTGAACCCAGAGCTGTGATGCAGACGTTAAGTCTTTACCGCTGGAACCAATAGGAAAATTCAACTGCAGTACCCACTGTTCGTCCCAAAGAGGGCAGCACTAAGACTGCTTTCACACAAAAATGGCATAGTTTTAAAAATTTACACAAATAAATTCCAATTTGAACAGGAACATAAAGATAGCACATTCAAAGGCCAATAGACAGTTAATCTGCGAAAAATAATGTTGATTTGGAGTTTGGAGTTACTTTGACTGGAGGATTTGATCCATATCTCTAATTCCATCAACAATAACGTTAGATTTAATAGACAGTATGAGATGTAAACTATTTAAAGCACCAGTTGACCCATCATGACCTGAGCGCCATCAGATTTAAAACGTGTTTTAAAGCTGATGTTGTGCGCATTAATATATGCTCACATTAATGTTTCTGTGGTTTAAACTGTCAGAGCTCATGTTAGCCTGGAAACTGAACCTTTAGGTCTCCTCCAAGACATCCAGTGTTTCATAAACACTGACCCTGCTTCATGTAAACACAGCGGCTAGCTGCGTGTTTAGGCGCTGACAGACGGTTTAAACCGGCCGGAAGGACCCCTCACACCGCCGACAGCCCCGGACTCACCTGTAGTTGTAGGAGGGGAACCTGCTGCTCTCCTTCAGCATCATCTTGTACAGAGAAATCACCTGAGACCGAGTGGAAGCAGCCATGATGCTACACGATATGCGGCTCCGTCCCTCTTTCCGTTTGAGTTCCAGGACCCTGATTTCTAGGTAACCAAATTGTGCCTGAACAGAAACAACTATTTCAAATTGTATGTTAATGACAGATTTATTATTTATTTTATTAAAAAAAATCTTTGTTTAAAAATGTAAAGATAAATAATATAATAAATATACGTTTGAGACGGAAAATAATATTTATTGCCTTTAAGCCGTACAGGCGCACCTCCGCCAACTAAACAGCCCAACTCAGGAGAGTGATTGAAGGTGAGTTAGCTTTGCTTCTTTAACCTCTAAATATGTTTTTAAGTAGAGAAACATGAGGCTTTAATGAATGAGCTACACCACGAGGGTTAAATTCTTCACTACACCTCACTAACTGGTGGTGGTTCGGCTTTTTCACAGCTTTATTGTACACATAAAACGTCTTTGTTTTGGGTCAACATGTGAGCAACCCTGCTGCAGAGATAACTGGTTGAGCTGCAGTTGCTTTAAATGAATCTAACCCTCATGGTTACGCAGACACAAAGCTATTTAAACCTCCTTCAACCTTTAAATATACAGCTAGTAGGTTCTGCTGTGACCGTTCTTAAACTGAACTCAACAGAACCAGAACTGTTAAAAATAGTAACAAAGCTACATGTTCCCAAAACGGAAATAAAGCTTCACTTTATTAATCTGATTTTATCAATTAAACAATATTTGATTTATCCCAAAGGAAAAACTAAACGTCATTGTAAGAATATTTAAAGAGATGATGTGGCCTATGATGCTGTGTGCAGAAAGGCTCTCCTGTAGCAGTCTGTCTTGCAACACATCAAAAGAGGCCTCTGACTGAAGACTGTTGCTGTATAACAGCCTCATGACAGCCCTGACATGCTAACGGCTCAATATCCAAGCAGCAGAGATGATATTTCACAGCAACACGTCCTGGATGTCTCCATCAGCCGCTAGCTAGCTATGCTAATCCACCTCATTTGTTTTTGCTGCTTTTGAGAGATGTTGGAGTAGGGGATGAGATGATCTAAACTTCCTCCTCCTCTCTGTGTCCATGAAGCCTCCCTTTAAACTCCTCTTGGATTTGGGGTCAGAGGTCAGGAAAATTTTTAAAATGCTGATGCTGATGGGTTCCTGATGATGAGGTCTAAATGTTCTAATGGGTTTAAACCAGGTTACTCTCTCTGAGTCTACTTGCTGTAGTGTTAAACCCCATGACCTATGTGTGTGTGTGTGTGTGTGTGTGTGTGTGTGTGTGTGTGGTTTGATCTTTAGCCTGGATGTGTAAAAGGTCACATCCTGACTCCTGATATCCGTCTGTCTGTGAGAGTAAAGGTCACGGTTCCGGCTGTGTGTGTCGCCCGTGTTGGTTCTGTGTCGGCGCTGAACGTTCATCTGATGCGACCCGGTCCATTTTTAGACCGGTGTGTTTGCTAAAACCCAACAAATACACAAGTTGTGTTATGCTAACACAGTTCATAGATCTAAATGACTTTTAGATGTTTGTCACATTTTTGTGACATTTTCTGGTCGTTTTTTTATCCATTTATTATTATTTTATCTTTGAGTTTTGATTTTAATTTTGTCCTATTTTTTAAATAAGTTTTGAAGATATGGAGGCCAAAGAAATCTGAAACATTTTGAAGGAAGTAAAGTTTGTGACTCTTATTTTAAAAGTATCTTTTGGCTGTATTTTAGAAATGGGATGAACTAAGCTTTCAGGACCATAAATCCTGAATTCTGCAGAACTTAATTCTCAAATTAAAAAGTTTAATCTGAGTTTAAACAGAAGCAGGAATGAAACGGGTCTCAGCCGGCAGACATGGCGGGTTCTGGAGGAAGTCAGAACCTGTTGAGTCCAATCAGTCAAAGTCAACAATGTTAGTTAAACCTCTGTTTTAGAGGAAATGTTGAATGTTGTTACAGTCCATACATACTTAAGCCCTTTTCTAAAGATTCCTTTTCATTCACTACATATACCTAAATATGAATATGCACAGTGGAGCTGGAGCTACTGTTTGTCTTCTTTATCTACCTGTTTGGGGTTCAGCCAATCAACATCAAGGAAAATAAATGCTGCTTCAGGATTGGCTGCTTTTCAAACGCCAGCTAATAACATGTTAAGTATATCTAGAAAAATGCTAATTTTTTTAGAATATCTTAGCTAAATTCACGGAAACGGGTGAATTTTTGTACGTCTTTAGGAGGCAAGTTGCACAGAATAGACTGTGCTCTGCCATATTACCTGATTTTAAAGAGAGTTGATCACCTGCATCGTGATGTAAGTACAGGTGATGCTGAGTTATAATCGCTCCAAGTTGCAGCAGGTAGAGGAAAACGGATGGTACCGAGAAGTGAACCCTGTGGCGCCCCACGTGGCAGAGGAGGGAGATGGATTATTAATTATCGTGTATTATTAATCATAATAGAGACCGATTTTATAAGATAAAGTCCAACTTTTGGGTTTCTAATAGAAATAAAGGCAGAGCTGTGGAAGTCCAAACATCACTAAATATTTCTACAAATAGAGACACAGAATACTTCCTGCTGTTCCTTTACGTTGAGAAAAACACCCAGTTTAATAAATAAATAGTTGGAAATGTTTGTTTCCGGCTCCTCCGTGTCTGTCAGCCATGCGCTGGATGTTAGAGAGCGGAGCTGAGTGACGGACGGCTCTGCTCAGATCAATAACGGAGGATTTCCTTCAGTCCCAGCCGCCCGGACCGACTCTTCCTCTGAATCTTGCAGATCAGGAGCAGCTTCTGTCACACCGGGCCGCAGCGCCTCTCATCTTCCGTGACGTCTCATTTCCCAGTCCCAGGTCGGCTCTGATCACTTCCTGTCACGGCTTCAGCGCTGCACCAGACTCTGAGGAGAAACGGCGCCGTTCTGCCCAGTAACACGCAACAACATCAGCCACATTACCGGGAATCACCCGGTAATAACTCCGCTCCAACCTCCTCAAAGCCAGTGATTTATATTAAATATAAATAGTTTACTCCATCAGAGACTCTGGGAGAACAGGCCGCATTAGCTGAGTGACGGCCGGATGGAGGCTTGGGAACGGGAACGCTGCGGTGTCGGAACGGGAAGATCCGGGCTTTAGCGGCTCCATACCTGCCTGGGGCAAATTCACTTCAGGTTATTTATAACTGCGAGTGGTGGGCACACTTCCGCTAAGGCGCTAACAGCAGAGCTAACGGAGTTTAGTGGTTTTGATAACTTTGAAAACGTTTAGTGCACTTAGCTTCCCGTAGATAATATTCTTCTAATAAATTCTAATTTACTTCCGTTGAATAAAGTTTGACTGTGTTGATGTTAAAGATTCAAGTAGAAGTTTACTTTCATGCTTTTATTGTGAAGCCTGTTTTACTGCGCTAGCACGTTATTGACACAAGGTGGCTATCAACATGGTTGAATTTAGCGATTTAGCATTAGCTCTTGCTAAATCATATGTTGTAGCACTTAGGCATTAGCTTAAATTAAATATTGTGTTTTATTGCTTTAAAATTAGGATTAACCTACCTGTAGCGCTTTAGCATTTGCTTCTGCTAACTACCTTGTTGTAGTGTTCTAATGTTAGCTTCTGCTTTAGCGTTAGCAGAACTACTTTTTATTCTTAGTGCTTCAGGCTTAGTGCAGCTAGCTTTGCAGCTAACCTAAGCCAGTGTGAGCCTCATCCTAAGGTAAAGTTTTGGGCCTGTGTAGCGCTGCGGCTTGGCGCCGCGGCGCTCTGCTGCTGAACGCTGTGAGCTGATTGGATGTAATGAAGCCTGATGGTCGGAGCAGCTTCCTCTCAGCCCTGATGAGCTGCTTTGATTCTCCGGCTGCTCGTTTCCGTCTCGCTGAGCCGTGAGCTGCAGATTGAGTTTTCCGTCTCCTTTCCACCTGGCAGATCAAGGACCCCAGCGTCCCGGCCATCGATCGCTTCCTCCCGTGTTCAGACAGCGGAAGAACCCGTCTGGGACGCGTCAGCGCCACGACCCGAGCCGGATCGCTGAGGATCGACCGGCCTCCTCTGTGGAGAGGTAAAACCAGCCGGTAAACACTCTGACATTTACAGTCGTGTTAAATAAAACTGATGTTCAGTCTGCGCCGTGAAGGGGCTGCAGGCCTCCTGAATGTCAGTCCGGCTGGGAACGCAGCGACCGGCGCCGTCTGACTCAGGATGAATCGCTAAACTGTTTAACTGAACGATTCCCAACGCGCCGCCGTCGCTGTGTTTAATGTCAGGCCGACGCCATGGAAACGGAGGCCTTGACCCCCATGGTGACCTCAGCTTTGAACTCTGACCTTTTCCACGTCCTCTGACTCCAGAAGCTGCTCTGGAGAAAAAATGCAAAAAACTAAATAATTTCCCAGGTTCTAAGTTAAAATATCAGACTTTCCTTCTAATATTCAAGAATGATTGACTTAAACAAACTCCTATATCTTGTTGAAACGTTAATTTGTCTTGATTCAACTGAACTCTGATATTTTCAGTGTAAACTAGATAAATAAGTGTTTATTGTTTTACAGTGTATCTGTGTTTGTGACGGAGCGTCTGCTGGACGTTCAGACGGTCGCAGCTCATCCTGCTGCTCTTCCTCTCTTTTTCTTTTCTTTCTCATCTCTTTTCTTCTTATTTCCTGTTTCCTTTTCCCAACCGCATCTCTTCCTTCCTGTTTCTGGATTCCGTTTGTCGGGATTCACGATAAATCGGTGTTGACGTCCGATCAGTAAATCTGGACTGATATTTGTTTCCATGTTGTAGCTGTTTGTTTGGATGCAGAGCAGGATTATGGAGTTTTGGTGAAAGGAAATATATGTGATATCGGTAAATATCAATTATCGGCCATAACAGATTTTTTTATCGATGGGTCGCCAACCGTCTCCTTCCTTTTGTTTCCTGTTTCCGTCCATCACCTCCTGACCAGACCCGGATTTAACCAGAGTTCTGGATCCTCAGAAACATGTTGAGTTTCTGGGCAGCAGGCGGTTCTGGTTCTCTGGTTCTGGTTCTCTGGTTCTGGTTCTCTGGTTCTGTGGTTCTGGTCCTGCTTCTGTCATCCTGTGGTTCTGGTTCTGGTTCTGGCGGCGTAGTTAAATCTGTTTTCTGCAGAGAGCTCTTGGGTTTTCCTGGCGCTGCGTCTCTGTGTGCTGGTGTCCTCCATCTGTTGTAGGAAAGCCTTCCTGAACCTGCTGAGCCCACGTCACACACACACACACCCCTACACACACACACACACACACACGTTATATAACCTGTGAAACACACTCCCATCGTCTCAGAACTCGGTGAAATCAGGAGAAGGAAAAACTCATGCAACATTTAGCTGCATCCATTCAGCATTTTCAGCCTCTTTCACTTTAAATCTGCTTTTCTGTGACCTTTGACCCCTCAGTGGAGTCTGAAAGTGTCGTCTTGTGATCGGTAAAAAATGTGAAAATCAAACCTGGAGGCGCCAATTAGAGGCAGCAGAGTGTCGGGCCCCTGAGGGCCTTCCTGGTGTCAGTCTGCTGAAGGGTTTTCAGCTAGCAGTGAGCGGTTAGCGCCGAGCGGTTAGCTGTTAGCAGTGAGTGCTGAGCAGCTAGCAGTGAGCATTTAGCACTGAGCAGCTAGCAATGAGCGGTTAGCTGTTAGCACTGAGCAGCTAGCAGTGAGCGGTTAGCACCGAGCGGTTAGCGTTTAGCAGTGAGCAGCTGGCAGTGAGCGGTTGGCACCAAGCGGTTAGCATTTAGCAGTGAGCAGCTAGCAGTGAGCGGTTAGCACCGAGCGGTTAGCTGTTAGCAGTGAGTGCTGAGCAGCTAGCAGTGAGCAGCTAGCGGTAAGTGGTTAGCATTGACTACAGCTCTCGTATCTTTTCTTGTTTCCTTGTAATATTCTGACGTTAGACTTACAGTAAATCTTTTCGTGGTTCTAATCGTCGAACGTTTGAATCGAATCTTCATGGTTTCATTGTTTCCTTGGTTTGTTCAGCATTGAACAGGATTATTTTATATTTTTTAAGGTTTTGGCTCTGGTAGATTTTCTGTATTTATTTGTCAGATGTTGAACAGATTTCCAGATGAAGGCCGGTCATCCCTCCTGTCAGAACCGCCCGCCAGTCAGACCGAACCTCCGGGTCGACCCGCTTCCTCTTTCATCTGAGATGTGTCGGTTCTCCGCCATGACAGGAGAACGAAGCTCCTGGACCGGTTCTGGTGGAACCCAGAGATCCCAAAGAGTCTCAGTTCATCAGAATGAAGGTCCAGATTTTAACAGATCAACTAAAATATAGATTATTGTTGAAAAAATAAATGTTTCAAACATTTTAAGCCTTTATTTCTGATGGTTCTGAAGGTTCTTACTCAGAGATTAAAAACCCAAATTCAGACCATCAGAATATTCCATCAGGTCAGTAAAATCATATGAATATTTAAACTATGTTTTACAGTGTTATAATGCGTTTAGCTGCAGTCAGATTTTCATGTTTCGAATCGTTTATAGAGTCCAAACGTCACATTCATGAGGATTGAATTAAGCTGAGCTGAATCACAGTTGGTGGGTTTTAATGAGCCTCCTGTGGTTCTGTAATAACGGGTCGGTCTGCAGGAACGGATCCACTGGTGGGAATAAAAACCCAGAACTCTCCATCCTCACTGCCGTTCAGCCCAACGGTCCGGTCAGACGGTTCTGGACCGGTTCTGGACCCAGATCTACGAAACCAACAGAGAATCGGGTCGGGTCGGGTTCTGTCTCTCTTTCTGCCTGGCAGCAGAGCTGGATGAGTTCTGATTGGAGGAACTCGTTTACTCTAGCTCACCTGAGAGGTTCTGATGAGTTTGGTTAAATAAAGATGGAAGGTGATGAAATAAATAAAAGTTAAATAACTTTCACATCAACCTGTTTTCAGTCAAACATGAAAAGTTAAAATCCCAACCAGAGAAGCTGAACTTTCTCCTCTTGGTTGGGGGAAGTTTCTGCCTCAGGAGGAGTTAAATTTTCTCACAGCATTTCCACCAAAAGAACTTTAGTTCCTGAACTGGTTCAGTTCAGAGCGATTTATTGACGTCCGTTTCCATCAGTTTGGGGAACCGAGGATGAGACGCCAATAGAGGGCGTAGCGGCCAGATCTGAGCGCACTTCTTTATTTACTTACTGCTTTAATTTAACCGTCCAAAGACGTTTCAGCTCCTCACTACTGCAGCGTTCAGTCTGACTGCACCAAGAGGCGAGGCTCTAAACGCCAGAGAGGCTGATGCTTGGTGAGGTGGAGGTGCTTTGATCCAGTAGTTTCCTCAGCAGGCTGCCGTTTCATCCTCCAGATGATGGCCTCTTTCTGCAGCTGCTGACCGTTGGCTCAGAAAAACCAGCTGTTCTGCAGAGGCCCAGTGGAGCAACAGTTCACTCTGTGGAGCCTCTTTAATCTGTGTGAAAACGCACAACAGCGGGTTGAAGATGCGTTCAGGGACCAGTGGGACGGGCCTGTTGGTGATGGATGGAGCAGCAGATGGTTGAGGCTCTTCGTACTCTTCGCTGTGTTCATATCCTGTGACCCAGCATGCACCGTCAGTGGAGATTTAAACCCATTCTCTACATTTCTTATCAGGTGGTCCGGTCTCACCTGTTGGTGCTGCATGGAGGGCGACAGTCTGGCTGCTGTGGGTCCTTAACGCTGATGCTGTCGACGCTCAGGCGTAAAAACTGATCTGTGTTTGGACATGTCCGCCGGTCGTCCTGCGGTCTGTGCTGACCTCTGTCAAGCGAAGTGTGATTGAGCTTCTTGGACCTGGCTAGTTCTGCTGAATAAAGAGCAACAGTTTCTACATCCACCCCTCACCTGCATCATGACCGATAGAACAGATCCTGGATCCTCTGGATCCCTCAGACCAACATGCTGACTCTCCGGCCAGCGGTTGGCTCTGCAGCGCCTCTTGTTTTGCTGTAAACCCTCCGTCTCTGTCGGTGTTCCTTCATCATGAGCAGTGGCTCCCGGGCTGCAGCGCCCCCCAGAGGATGGCTGTCGGCCCAGCAGGGGGAACCGGACGTCTGTTTCTCTCACATCCCTGAAGAGCCGAGCGGCTAAATCAGCCAACAATGTTCTGCTCGTCTCCGTGTGCCTCAGATTTTAACTTCCAGCCTGTGTTCAGCCTCTCCTGAGCGTGTTAGCGCTGCAGCGGGTTCTCGCCTGCGGCGTTGAGGTTAGCAGGTGTTCAGGTGGCTTCCTCACCTTCTGCAGCTCCTCCAGCAGCAGATCAGCTGGAGCTATTAATAGTAGCTGCAGTAGGAAGTGAGACGCCATCAGACAAAGAGAGGTTAGCTTCTGTTAGCTTCTGTTAGCCTCTGATGCTACCGTCAGGCACCAGGCTGACCTCTGACCCGGTACGCAGGGCCAGAGGTCAGATATGTAATAATGTTCACATTTAAAAGAAAAATAAAAGAAATATGACCTAAAATGATTGATGATGACTCAGCATATTAGTAGGCTTTATTAAATATCCAGGTATTTATTTCTTGTGTTTTCCTAAATCCTGGCATTCTGTTCATGTCTGCCTGTTGCAGAGTTCAGATTAGCTGGTTGTGATGTTTTTTACTCAGTTTGAAATAAATAACTTTATTCTCCGTTCACACAGATTCACATCAGTCTCACTGAGCTCTCAGCTCAAATCAAAGATGCAGACGGCTGCTCGTACAGCATGCTAACATCCAAGCTAGCTAGCACTCTGCCTCATGTAGCTGTGGCTAACAGCTAACATCGTCTCGGTGCAGCGCGCTGACCGGCAGCTGCAGCCTCATCAGTTTGGTTCTGTGGGATCAGATTCTGATTCATCCATTAATATTCATGTGATAAACTGACTTTATGTTTAAAGTCATTTTTCTGATTGTGGAATTAGAAACTTCTCCATCTGCGTCGAGTTAACGGGGACTCCTGCTCTCTGTGGAGAACACCAGCTCAGGTTTTTCTGTTTCTGGTGGGATCAGCGTTTCCAGCAGCGCCACATCAACACCAGTTGGCTTCAGGTTTCTGTCAGCAGCGCAGGAAAAACCCGGCCGGAGGGGTGATTG